TCCATCATTGAAGGTGTTTGAAACAGGAGAGAGGCACTGATATTTTTGGTGCCAAAATCAAAAAGCAAAAAGCAAAAATCAAAAAGCAAAAATCAATGGGTTTTTTAGTCACTTGACACACGAGTCAGTAGAAAAAAAAATGGGGGGAGACATCACACCCGACAGTAGTGAACCTCTAGCTGCTGCCACCCAGAACTCCAGAACTCAGTAATAGTTACCTATGCCTCCGCCAGACCAATGTACAGTAGCAGGTAACTTCCAGTCTGAATCCAGGGAACAAATACACGGTAAGAAAAATCCAAGGAGTATGAGTAATGGGCTAGATCCAGATGTGCAGGCACATGCGTTTCCCCAGCGACAAACAGCAGCAACACACGTACCACTGCTACATTGGTTTTTCTTGTTTTGCTTATTTCGTTTTGTTGGGGTTTTTTATTTGTTTCCGCCTTGCTCTGTACTAAGAGGCATGCCCTCTCTCTACCTGGGATCTCTTGAGTCCTTATTAAGAACCTTGTGCACAAGCAGGATGTTGGATATCATGGTCCTCCTGCTGTACCTGTGGTAGGTTAGGGAGTTAATGCCTTGTGCTGCATCTGGGTTGACTGTAGTTTTACTAAGAGGTTAGATTATGGTTTTGTATAGGATGGTAGATAGGGATGGTCCTGCCTCAGACAGGGGATTAGACTAGAATGATCTTTGGAGCTCCTTTCCATCCCTGCTTCTCTGTGCTTTTTAACAGTTGTTTTCAACATTTTTTAATTTGCAGACCCCTAAAAAAATTAAATTGAGGTACAAACCCCTTTGAATTGTAAGTGTGGGTATTCACACTTTTGATTGATTATAGTCATTTTTCACAGACTCCTTAGACATGGTCTGCAGACCCCCAGGGGTCCATGGACCAAAGGTTGAAAACTACTGTTCTATGACATTCAAGGGCTAGAGGATCTGCCTTTTTTATGTCCCACCACTAACCTGTATCCATACCACAGCAATAAGCTGGTTACTGATATACTGGCAACTGTCCATGATTATTTTGGAGGTCTGCACAAATCTCCACCCCAGAGAGCTGAGGGAATTAGCAGAGGTCATTGTGGGACTCGTGGCATGGCTTTACGAGCACTCATGGTGCTCTGGTGTGGTGCCAGAGGACTGGAAAAGGGCCAACATGGTTCCCATTTTCAAAAAAAGGGAGGAAGGAGGACCCCGGAAACTATAGGCCAGTCAGTCTTACCTCGATCCTGGGTAAGCTTTTTGAGAGAATTATCCTGGTGCATGTCCACGAGGGGCCAGCAGGGGAGATTATGTTTAGGGGCAACCAATATGGGTTCATTAGAGGCAGGTCCTGTCAGACCAACCTCATGGCCTTCTATGACCAGGTCACAAAATCCTTAGACGCAGGGGTAGCAGTGGAGGTAGTCTTTCTGGACTTTAGGAAGGCCTTCAACACTGTGTCTCATCCCATTCTCATTAAAAAACTAGGAGACTGTGGCATTGACACCTACACAGTCAAATGGGTCACTAGCTGGCTGGAGGGCCGCACCCAGAGAGTGGTGGTGGACGGGTTTTATTCGACCTGGAGGTCAACTTGGATGAGGGGGTGAAAAGTACCCTGTTTAAATTCGCAGATGACACCAAGATTTGGGGTGAGGTGGGCATGCTAGAAGGGAGGGACAGGATACAGCTGGACCTGGACAGGTTACAGGGGTGGGCAAATGAGAATAGGATGGGATTCAGTACTGACAAGTGCAGTAGTATACCTATAGGCTGGGGAACTCCCTTCTCGAGAGCACAGTGGCAGAAAGAGATCTTGGAGACATTATCGATTCCAAAATTGTCATATTGAATGAAATAGTTTAAATGTTTGTAATATTTGCCCATTAGCCAGTTTAGGAAGAAGACAAAATTCATCTTCTTATCTAGGCCATTGTTTTGGTATACGTGCGGAAGGTCCTGACTTTGCTCAAAGTCTTAGCTCTTGAATTTTATCTTTAGAGGCCTTTAACAAAGTTAACCTAAAAATGACCCTTAAGCAGACATACCACATTCCGAGAAATCAAACCCTAGGAACCTTTTAAAAGATTGGAAAGAAAGGAAATTCCTCAAAGTAATTAAAATGATCAACAAAAGAAACTAATTACCAAGCAAAAGAATCTGTTAAGTAAGATCTAAGCCCAAATTTGGGAGTAGTGACAGGTTTGGGTAGGAGGGGCCCAAGACGGCAACTCACTCAATAAAAACTGTAACCCACTGTCCCAATTTGGAGGTAACCTCACTTGCAGAACAACGAAGGAAGAATCGCAAGTGTAGGCCAGATCAGACTGATCACCTGAACCATCATCTCCGTGAACACGAATCTCTTAGTTCACGCTGAAGCTGCGGAGCACCCGAAAGGGACTGAAGGAAGGAGACTTAGTCCTATCGATATTGAGGTCAGCCCATTGAACCGTATTGCTGAGGCGAGCCCATTGAACCGTACTACTGAGGCTAACCCATTACATTGTACTACTGAGGAATGAAACCATATTTAGGTGTCTGGCTTCTCAGAATTCTAGGACTGTAAGTATATTATGAAAATAATAGTATTGATTCAAATTTAACTTTTAGTTGTAATTGTAGTTGTTTTTGTAATACTAATTCTTATAGCATTGTTTGGGAAGGAAGTGCATTTGGAGCATTGTTTCTGATATATGTAGTTATTGTGTTCTTAATGTTTGTGGTATTTCTTAAAGCTAAACAGTGTTATATGCGTAGCAAAGAATTTTAAAATAAAATTGTGTTGTATGAATTAACCTTGTTGTGCATCCACAGATGCACCTCAAGCAAGGCCAAGGAGGTGATCCTCCCCCCCTTTGCGACACTGGTCAGGCCACAGTTGGAGTACTGCGTCCAGTTCTGGGCACCGCACTTCAGGAGGGATGTGGACAATATGGAGAGGGTCCAGAGGAGGGCCACCCGCATGATCAGGGGTCAGCAGGGCAGGCCCTATGAGAAGAGACTATGGGACCTGAACCTGTTCAGCCTCCACAAGAGAAGGCTGAAGGGGGGGATCTAGTGGCCGTTTAGAAACTAGTCATGGGGGACCAGCAGGCATTGGGAGAGTCCCTGTTCCCCCGAGCACTACCAGGAGTGACAAGAAATAATGGTCACAAGCTGGCAAAGGGTAAATTCAGGCTAGATATCAGGAGGCGCTACTTCACTGTCAGGGCAGCTAGGATCTGGAACCAACTTCCAAGAGAAGTGGTGCTGGCTCCTACCCTGGGGGTCTTTAAGAGGAGGCTGGATGAACACCTTGCTGGGATCATTTGACCCCAGTACTCTTTCCTGCCATGGCAGGGGGTTGGACTTGATGATCTGCTCAGGTCCCTTCCGACCCTACCAACTATGAAGCTACTCTTGTCATGGCTTTTGAGTACACATCCAAATAACATTTAGGCCATGTAAGACATGCAATTACACTCTGAAATGTAAAACAGTGGTGAACTATGTTTAGAAGACTGGAGGCAAACATGGTCTTGCTGCAAAAGCTGCTTGGATGACAGTGTCATTCTGTATATATGGTTGTAGCCTCCTGTTTCTTGTACAGCATCTGTGAAGCTAGAGGAAGGTGTTTTTGTATGGAGCAGACCATGGACGACAACAACAGATTTCTGTACCAGTTTGTACAGGAGGAAAGTAGTCTGGACCCTTGGTTCAAGGGAATCTAGAGAAATTATGGCTGCTGTATATGATCACATTTGTGCTACAGATGGCAATGAGCAATCACCTGCTAACATATTTGTCATTTCTTAGGCTGCTAGAAAACTTAGAATCATAGAAAATGAAGACTGGAAGAGACCTCAGGAGCTCATCTAGTCTAACCCCCTGCTGAAAGCAGGATCGGATCGTTCCCAACTACATCATCCCAGCCAAAGCTTTGTTGAGCCAGGTCTTAAAAACCTCCATGGATAGATATTCTGCCACCTTCTGGGTAGCCTGTCCCAGTGCTTTACTACTATCCTAGTGAGAAAATTCTTCCTAATATCTAACCTAACCTCCTTGTTCTGTCATCTGCCACCACTGAGAACAGTCCAGCTCCATTCTCTTTCGAACCCCCCTTCAGGTAGTTGTTGCAATTAAATCCCCTCTCAGTCTCCTCTTCCCTAGACTAAATAAACCCAGTTTCCTTAGTCTTTCCTCATAAGTCATATCCCCCAGTTCCCTCACCAGTTTCATTGCCCTCCACTAGACCCCTTCTAATTTGCCCGCATCCTTTCTGTAGTGGGGGTCACAAAACTGGGCACAGTACTCCAGCTGTGGTCTCACCAGTGCTCAATAGAGGGGAATAATCACTTCCCTTAATCTGCTGGCAACACTCCTGGTGATGCAGCCCAGGACTCCTGGTGATGTTAGCCTTATTCACAACAGGGGCACACTGCTGGCTCATATTCAGTTTATTGTCCACTGTAACCCCCAGGTCCTTTTCTGTAGACCTGCTGCCCAGCCAGTCTGCCCCCACCCTGTACCAGTGCGTGGGATTATTCCATCCGAAATGCAGCTTGTAACATGCTCTTTTCCTTGTTAAGAGGCCCCTTGTATCTTTAACTTATGTAGTTGCAGTTTGCTAAAGTTCATGAGGTATCTTGATCCCAATTAATGCTATGGATCTTGATAACATAATGAGTTTCTTGCCAGGTCTTAATCTTAGTTTTAAACTTCTGTTTACTAGTTTGTATAGAGTACCTTGGGTTTGTTTATATATCAATACAGTCTTTGCCTGGCTGAATCTACCCTTTTTGTTAAAACATGGCAGGCACCAGAAGATCAGCGCCATAAGTAAAAACTTAAGAAGAGTGCCATCATGTCTGCCAACCATACACATTTTAAATGATGATGATGATGAACTATATAGAATAATCAAACATAATTGCAAAGGGTACAAAGGTGAAAGGTACAGTTTTTTAAAAGGGGGGGGGGGGGGGTGCAGAGGGAGGAATGCCTCCCCTTCCAGCCTTTGAATCTCAGTGCCACAAAGATGTGTAGTACCAATGGAGAGACAGCAACAAAAAAAATGCTAAATTGGATTACATGGAGTTGGATTGTTGTAACCATGTTAGTCCAGGAAGTATACAAGTAAAGTTTTTATTTTTTCCTCCTCAGATATCTTTTATTGAGACAACTATATAATAGTTGGGAAGTTTAACAAGCATTTGGGCACCCACTGACCTTCTCCCTAACATAACGCAAGGCAATGGGCGCACAAAAGTTTGTCAAACCCCTTCCCCAAGAGAATCTATTAAAAGATACCACAAAAAACACCCCTTGCTTCTCATACATTTTGGAATATGGCCATTCTGAATCAAGCCAGGCCAATTCAATAGTAATAACTGGTTATGGTACCAGCATTTTGGATTTTGTGCAAAACATGCCAGCCTCAAAAAATGTTCCCCCACCATCCACCAATAAGCAGCACCATTTCCATTTTCAGCATCTCTCACTCTTAAATTGGGTTTCATATTTGTAGAACATGAGTGTGGGGTGATTTAGGCTTTCAAAACAATTTAGTTATTATACATAATTATGGGATTATATTTGGAACTTGCTCAAAGACCAAGAAAAATCCACAATCTTCCAGAATTGTGTGTGTGTTGCTTTTGAATACAAAAAGCTGGAGCCTGCACACACAACCACCTCCTACATGTTACCCTGTATTTATACTTATAAGTTAGTAAAGACAAAGCAAAATCCACAATCTTCCAAAATTATTTCTGTTGCTTTTGAATGCTGGAGGCTGCACATACAGCCACCTCCAAAAGGTTACCCTTTATTTAGTTAGTAAATGTACATTAGATATCAAAACACTGCCATACCTTCTCTCCCCTTTCAGCATCAATTTATGCTTTATTAGATCGATCTCACAGACACAGGTAACGAACCTGGTTTTGTCCATGCGCCTTTCTGCAACCATATATCTACAGTCACGTTGTGCCATCAAGACGCATGCTGCAGCGATCAGAAGGAAACAATTGGATCACACTGACTAAGGGGCTGTTTGAAAAGGGTTCACTTCCCTCCTCCTTCCCCTCCGCTCCCACTCCGCCCACACACACTCTCACACTGCAGATTAACTCTGTCTCCTTTTTAGAAAATGGCGAGGGCTGGACGCGGAAGATGGAGAAAGAAGATGGTGCGTCGAGAGACTTGATTGGTCAGAATTTGGTGCAGGGACCTGAAACACAGAAAGCAGAATTGAGACGGCAGCAACAAGCCCTTAAGCCCGTGCGTCAGCCACCAACATGGAGGAACCAGATTCCGAGTTACATGTAGTGTGTCACGGCTTCTTAATGGGAGATTTCAATCTAAACCACGTACAATACAGCCGAACCTGTCCCTCACATGACAAGAGCACCTGGGGCAGCACTTGATCTTTTTAAACTGAATTTCACAGAAAAGAGAGCTATTTTATGGTAGAAGGCGGCACAAGACGCTTTTAGCGTGCTCACTGGCATACATGCCTGACGGGCTTGCACAACCAACAAGTGCTGGAGGGCAGCGGGAGCCGGAGGACGCAAACAAAAATCCCGATTAGAAACAGTCCCGACTAGGGAAAAAACTGCATTTCCATTTTAATATAAGAAATTACCTTCAGTGTCAGCTTCTAAATAGGACGTGTTTTCCTCCTTGGGGAAGCACGGTATACACATCAGGCTCATCAGGATGAGCGGTTTTATTGTTCATCTTGGGAAACCGATGCGAGTGGGGAAGAAGTGCTCGAATTTGCAGCTGGTTTTTAAATTATTGGTCCGGGGTGACTCCGGGGAACACAGCGCCACCCCCACAACGCTTGGTAGTTGTGGCTGTAGGCAAAAAACAGTGAAAAGGATGAAAAGTGAAAACAGGGTTGGTCGCCCTGTACCGGACGCCAGGACTGATCTGGGAGGGGATGCGAAGTTCCCTCCGCTGCCGAAAGCGGAGCAGCCAAGGACACCACTGCGCTCCTTGCTCTGAGGAGGCAGAAACACAAATCTCAGGTTCGGGGATCAAACGCACAGCATTTCCAAAAACAGGTTATATCCTGAGTCTTCCACACGTCCTCCTCCCCACTCCCAAAGCTATCCGGGGCGTTACAATACCCTCACGATGCATCTAGTTTAGAAACCTGCAGTTTCATTCATTATGTTTCCTAGCCTATAAAACTGTAAGGAACGGAAAACCTCGCATCACCCATATTTTACATGGCAGGTCATATACTACATACTGCTAGTACTGAACCACAGGAAGAAATAGTTAAGAAACCGATATTTAAGTATGAAGCACCCCAGCCTCTTACCTGCCAGGGGTGGGGAGAGGGAGGCGGAGGAAAGAAGTGCAGTACTGCATAGCAAGCACTGTATGCAGCCGAAACAAGGAAACGGAGGCTCCTTGGGATTACAAGAACGGCCCCTGGAAAGCACCCATGAACTGTTAGTATCAGTGAACGCTACAGACACCATTGTTTTACGGGGTCTTCTTAAGACTATTCTCTACTAAACGCAGAAAAAACATGAAATAAACCGACTAAGGATGTGCGCGGGCGCACACAAACACACAATACATACATGCACACGCACACAGACCATACAAAAGCTCGATACAGCTCTCTTCAGTGCGGCTGTGGTGGCTCTTAAAAGAGCCTTTGGGTTTCAGAATGTCAGATGGGGGCTTTACGCCCTCTCGCCACGGATGCGGCGGGCCAGCTGGATGTCCTTGGGCATGATGGTGACGCGCTTGGCGTGGATGGCGCACAGGTTGGTGTCCTCGAAGAGCCCCACCAGATAGGCCTCGCTGGCCTCCTGCAGCGCCATCACGGCCGAGCTCTGGAAGCGCAGGTCCGTCTTGAAGTCCTGCGCGATCTCGCGCACCAGGCGCTGGAAGGGCAGCTTGCGGATCAGCAGCTCCGTCGACTTCTGGTAGCGCCGGATCTCGCGCAGCGCCACGGTGCCGGGCCGGTAGCGGTGCGGCTTCTTCACGCCGCCCGTGGCGGGCGCGCTCTTGCGGGCCGCCTTGGTGGCCAGCTGCTTGCGGGGCGCCTTGCCACCGGTCGACTTGCGCGCAGTCTGCTTCGTACGGGCCATAGCAGACGCTAACAGTCGCTACTGCGAGACAAAAGACAAGAATGAAATGAAAAGCTCCCGGGAGCCGGTATTTATAGCCGAACTCCCTTCCCTGATTGGCTGACGGGAAAACACAAACGTCATTGGTCAATCTTAAATATTTGAAAAGCCCGCGCTCGGCCGTTGGGGTTGAGCAGGAAATCGGCTCTTCGCGCCTTCCCTCAAGGCGCGCGTTTCGCAATACGCATGCGCGCCCAGCAACACCTCCTCCCGAGGCTCCCCAGAAACGCTTCCCCCTCCCCCATCTCCCCTCCCCCGCTCTCTCCATTTTTCCTTCCCCCTGATTTTTGCTTTAAATCCTTCCATAAGCTTCTGAATATCCCCAACCCGTTATGAACTCTCACGGCAGCAAAACCCAGCCGAGACTCCCGCCACAGGAATTCATAGCACATAGGCGAGATCCGGTACGAGAAGGAAGCGGTCTTCTTTCTAGGTTTTAAAAAATGTGGGGTGCTTGAGGTAACAAGTGCTTTCTCTCCGCTGATCTCGCAAAATAAGCGGCATACGCCTCATGCTGCCTGCATCCCTCCATTTTGAACAGGAGAAATGGGGGTGGAAATACACATGTATGTTCACGTATATGTGCATGTACGTACTGTTTACGCATCTACACATGTACAGTAGGTGATAGTAGTTAGTACTCCTCCCTGCTGGACCGGCGTAATGATTGGGCCATAACACAGAAAACGTATAGAAAGGTTGTGCAGTGATTCAGACTTCGTTTGTTTACCATTGTACCCGCGGGATGAAACCCTGGAAGATGGCGCTAATAAGTCATCGATTTTGCTCTTTGACTTATTCCCTTATTCAGCTACCTAACTTCGCCACGATGCAACCTATAGATTATACAGCTTCAGTTATTTCACTTGATATAAATTAAAATGTAGCTCTTAAATCCGAAACAAAACTTCTACTTACCACGTCGGGGGG